GGCCCTCATCTGGGCTAGACGCCCCCCCCACACACGCTCCCCAACACACACACACACACACACACCCGCGGACCCGGGAGTGGGACCCCGGAGTACAAGGAGACTCGTGGGTGGTTGGGTGTAATTAGCGCGGGCCGCGCGCGATTGAGCAAGCGAGGGGGAAGGGGGGAAGAGGAGAGCGAGCGAGGGGGGGTTAAGAAGAGAAGGGTTTTAGGGAGAAGAGAAACGGGCCGCGGAGACGGGCCGACTGTCTGTCTGTCTGTCTGCCCGCCCTCGGTGCCCCGGCTGTCCGGCCCCCGCCGCAGTCAGAAATTCACACAAAATGGCGGCGTGGCCTGGACAGACTGAGAGGCTGAGGCGGGAGGAAGGGCGAGATGGGAGGGGGAACTGAGAGGCGGAGGCCGCGTCACGTGGCGGAGGGGGGGCGGTACAGGCCCCTTTCCCGAAAGGGCGGCGGAAAGAGCCGAGAGGCCGAGGGAAGGCGGAAAGAGCCGAAAGGCGCTGAGCGGGAGACAGGGAGAGGCGGAAAGTGTCGAAGATGATTATTGGGGTGGGGCTAGAGAAAAAATGGGAGGTCCCTGAGAGCCGGAAATAGCCGAAGCGGATCGGGACTGGGAAACAAGGAACTGAGGCGATCCGGAAAGAGCCGAAGGCGGCGTCGGGGTGGGTGGCAGGAGACGGAAACAGCCGAAAGAGGCGGTGCGCGGGTAATGAGATTTAGAAGGAAGGAGCTGAAGGGCTGGCTAGGGAGGCGATTAATTAAGAGAGTAAACGATTTCTGAGTAATTCGCCCGAGAAGCAGCAGGAAGAACCGAAAATTGCTAGCTTGAGGGAAAGCGGGAAGAGTAGAAAGTTTTAGGTGGGAGGATGGGAAGGGAGGAAATCGGGCTACGGAGAGGAAAAAAATAACCTAAAGCCGGAGGCCGGGTGCTGGAGTTGTAGGTTTCCGGAGAATGGGAAGATGGAGCCAGGCAAGCCGGGAGATGATGTCATTAGGGACCTCGGTCAATGACGTCATCCCTGGGCGGTGCAAGAGGGGCGGGCTTTGGTGGAGTTTTACAACCTAATTAGTAGATAGAAGGCTCTCAAATGCTGGACTTGGAAGTACTAAACGGATTCGGAACAGTATAACGTAAAATTCTTTAACCCTCATAACTGTACTCAGGACAGATAATATTATTCCCATTTAATGGATACAGACTGAACCTGGCTCAAGGTTATAGGATTAGGCATAAGCATCACAAATTTTTTTTTAAATCGGCGCTGGCATTCCATTGCCTCTTACGGGCTTACGGGTAGTCTATGGACCTCTGGTAAACAATAGGAAGCGTACACCCTGGGGATTTATAGAAAGTCAAGACCTCTTGTTCTGAGAATTAGCTCTTGGAGCATTCGTGGATTCTATGAAGCCTGGATGACTGGCCACAATCCCAGGTGATGATGTACTATGGGACACACCAAGTGATGAAGTGGGCAGACCCAGCTTCAATTCATCACCATGTGGAAATGGTATTTGAGACTGAACTCAGGCAGGCACTGTGAATCAGGTCCACACATCCAGTGTCCCACTTCCCAACCACGGGTGGTAGATTGATTACAATGGGTCCTTTTCATGGGAAAGGTCACCAATTCACCTTCATTAGAATAATACTTTGTTGGGAATTGGTGTTATTCCCACCCCCCTGTCCTATTTCTGCCAGTAATTACATCCCTGGACTTAACTATTTTCATGGTATAACTTTTTTTAAAAAATATATATTTTATTGATTTTTTACAGAGAGGAAGAGAGAGGGATAGAGAGTTAGAAACATCGATGAGAGAGATGCATTGATCAGCTGCTTCCTGCACACCTCCCACTGGTGATGTGCCCGCAACCAAGGTACATGCCCTTGACTGGAATCGAACCTGGGACCTTTCAGTCTGCAGGCTGGCGCTCTATCCATTGAGCCAAACCGGTTAGGGCTATTTTCATGGTATAACTTTTTAAAAGTTAAAAAACGTGCCCGTCACACAAAAACATGGTTAGCATGCATCAATGATGTCATTTCCATTAGTGAGAGAACCAGCTGAAAAATAAAGCTTGTTCATAGGAGGACCTTGAGGAATGAGTATGTATAGACTGAGGGGAAAAGAATGCAGGAATTAGGTTGGAAAGTTTGATACAAAACTGGTTAATGTCCTTCAAGGTTGTGTTTTCTGCCAGACAAAAATCATTTGAAACTCGAAAATCTCCCATAACTCTACCAAATCTAAATCCTAATCAACAATTAAATGGTAAGTCAAAGTAACGTCTAGAACAGCACTAACCGGTTTGGCTCAGTGGATAGAGCTTCAGCCTGCGGACTCAAGGGTCCCAGGTTCGATTCCGGTCAAGGGCATGTGCCTTGGTTAATTACATCTTTGTGTTTCCAAAGTCCCATTTCCCTTAGTCTAGTCCAGCGGTTCTCAACCTGTAGGTCGCGACACCTTTGGAGGTTGAACGGCCCTTTCACAGGAGTCGCCTAAGACTATTGGAAAACACTTATATAATTACTTATTGTTTTTGTGATTAATCACTATGCTTTAATTATGTTCAATTTGTAACAATGAAATTGGGGGTCACCACAACATGAGGAACTGTATTAAAGGGTCGCGGCATTAGGAAGGTTGAGAACCGCTGGTCTAGAGTGTCAGAAGGACTTGGTATTATCAGAGCATCAAGAAATCTTGCCTAATGGGATTAGCTTGTCTTTTCATTTTCCTCATTACCTAAAAGCAGGTGGCCCTCCAGAATTGTAGGATTACCTGTTGAAGCTTTCGAGATGTTGCCCACTGGAAACCACATCTTGAAAGGATAGGGTGCTGTCCTCATAGATGTAGTCTATGGTCTCAATCAGTGTTGTTGGGTCCATAACTAAAATGCATGGGGTTGCCGAAACCGGTTTGGCTCGGTGGATAGAGCGTCAGCTTGCGGACTGAAAGGTCCCAGGTTCGATTCTGGTCAAGGGCATGTACCTGGCTTGCGGACACATCCCCAATAGGAGATGTGCAGGAGGCAGCTGATTGATGTTTCTCTCTCATCAACTCTCTATTCCTCTCCCTTCCTCTCTGTAAAAAATCAATAAAATATATTTTAAAAAAATGCATGGGGTTCAGAAATCATAGAAAGCATAGAATGGCAACTTTTACAATTATCCATAATGACCCATTTACAGTATTTTTCCTTTCTATTCCATAACCCTCCTCTACTAGCTCTTGGTGTGTTAAAGAAACCTTTTTTGGAAAATTTAGTTATGAGCCAACATTCTATTATAATCATGCATGCTAAAAAGAAAAGGTCTCTCTCATAGGCTAATTAAAAGATTCCCTTTTATCTGGCAGGTGTCGCTCAGTGGTTGAGCGTTGGCCTATGCACCAAAAAGTCAATGGTTTAATTCCCTGTCAGGGCACATGCCTGGGTTTCGGGCTCAATCCCCAGTAGGGGGTGTGTAGAAGGCAGCCAAATTGATGTTTTCCTCCCATCCA